GACAAAAGCAAGTAGTTGGAGCAATAATGCGATCCAATAATGATTAAGAGTAAAGCAAGCAATGGGGCATAACTGTGGGCGACTGGGATCGACTGGTAGTGTATAAACTCGTCAATAGAGCATATAGCCGGTAATTCGAAGCAATCCCCTTGTAACTAAGTTTCTACAGAGTATATATACTAAAAGTCCGAAATTATAAATAGAAAACATATCTAAGCATTGGTAAGGCTGTAACTCTGTAGCTGAGTAAAACTAATAGCAGATATGTGGAAAATAGTCATCTGAAGCCACAGCATTGCGTTTAATGCCGGGTTTTTGAGGGGAAACCATATGGGTGCTGTGACTGCTGTGAGGACCATGGGGTGCTGTTTAACTGCGGGTTTTTAATGCGCAGCTCTTCTGCTGAGGTGTGCGCAGCTACTATCGATTACTTTGAGGTCTAGGCATGGTAACAGCCTTAGTAAAACCGGTCTGAAGTGCCCATGCACTTTAAATAACTTGGAAAGAGGAGTATCAATCAATCACATCAATTTAATTGAAGGATCGATGAAAGCGCAGCAAATGACGATCCCTGGTGATGTAGGAATGCTATATTCGGTTGATTGTCGATCAGGCATGCCAGGGTATGATGGGGCACGAAGATATTGTGCAAAACTGGTCGAAAAAGGATATAAAAGAGTAGTGGGAGTCATAACTGGTGTACTTCAGTTTCTGGAAGGATATTCGAGTTGTAGCCTTTGAAAACTGGTCTGAATAGATGAAGAGTAATCGCTGTATAACCGGTGGAGCACGGTGATATCACTGCATGAACTGGAAATCAAATCTGGAGTTGATGTAGGAGGTAGTAGGAGGATAATAGAATAATCCAGTTTCTGGGAGAATATTCGAGCTGTATCCTTCGAAAACTGGTCTGAATAGACGAAGAGTAACTGCTGTATAACCGGTGGAGCACGGAGATATTGCTGAATGGGCTAGAGATTAAATTCGGAGTTTTCTCTGGAGGTGGTAGGAGTATAATAGCATAATATGCAAATTCTGAGGGCTGTATATATCTGTGAATTCTGAGCATACAGAGCCTGGAGGCTCATCAGCGACCCTTGCAGACTTGTGAATAGATGATTTCGGCACCTCGAGTGTCTTGGCTTAGACACTTAGCACCTGTGTGCCACAAAGGCTGTGGTGAGATTAAGAGCCACATCTTGGGGTCAGCAATACATCTGAAGGATGGGGCTAGCTGAATTCACTCATCATCAGTGAAGACTGTGACAGGGTGATGTGGGTCTGGGAGATAAAGTGGGGACTCTGCATATATGGCTTGCATAGTTATACTTTGACGATTCAATACAGCAAGATGCTTCAGAATTGACTGGTAGCAGCCAGTGGACCATGGAATTTGACCTTGCATGAGCTGGACTTGTAGGGATGGAAGATGCTGAGAATGTTGGCTTCACACCATGATGGCGCAAGGTGTCTGGTCCATGGGTCAGTGGGATTTATGATCATACGTGTTGGGTTCATGTGACCTTTCCCTGCTGTACATGTTTAGGTGTGTGATGTTGGTATGGGTCTGGTAGTGCATACATGTCTTCCAGGGACACTCATCAGATATACCCTGTTGCATTTAATGGAGCATATCGCTTCTCATTCTGGACACCACCCTTTCAGTATGGGATGCCAAAACTGGGTATGTTTGCTGCTCGCAATCAATTGATAAAATCTAACTTTTCATACCAGCATCTGCATAGCCTTGCAGTTGAATTGTAATCCTGGGGATGGCCAGATCACAATCACATGATCACTATGATGCAGTGAGACAGTGAGACCCGCACGATGCAGGCCCCTATGGGCATTGCTGAGGATGTTTGTTTACAATTGCTGTCAGTTCTTTATTGGGGGATAACCATACAAGAGGTTTGACACATGCATTTGTGCTTCACAATAATCCAGTGCATCTCACCTTTATTCCAGGCAAAGAATCTGGTGAGAGTCACTTTTGATGGGCATCCAGCCACCCCCATCAATTATGGACAGGACACAGCTCGCTTCCTTCTCATTGGCCCCAATACCTCCAAATGCTAGGTCAGCACTCACGACAAGGACATTCCTGATGACGTTGCTCCTGACTTTCCTTTCCTATTATCTGGCAGTGCATCCCACGATAACTGGCCAAGCGATTTCAGCTTGAATTGCCTTTCTACCAATCATGCTCTATACGATGTATAAGTGTGCCATGTCACTTGATCTGGCCCCAGGAGATGAGAACATGAGAGACAGATACTTCAATGATATTCTAATCATACGTCTACGCTGCCCCATCCTTAAATGCTCATACTCACATCCCATAGCTTTCCATGGTCTTGTGCTCCTCATGTATCATTTCCTGGACCTTCACACCAATGCCACCCTGTCAACTGGAGCTACTATCTATCATGGTGGGTTAGAGACAAAATCACTTTTTTTTCATTTTTTTCACCTTGGAGTAAGTATTCACAGGTAAATGCAGGTATTATGAAGTATTTGTAAGTAATCAGAGGTAAAGCAAGGTAAATGTAAGTAATGATAGGTACAGACTTAGAATGCCGTAGGCAACAGCTTGAAATAGTGTGCTACTTCAGAATACTGGGGAATACTTCACATTCTCATCCACACATCGGCATAGGCTCAAAATGGAAGGACTCCTCCAGGGTCCTCAGGGTTCACACCCATAGGTAGTATGGCTTATATTGGCTTAATGCTGAACTTTGGCATCAGACAAACCTTCAGTTTGCCCAAATGAATGGCCTTCTTTACTAACCCACTAGGCTTGACCCAAGGGGGTTGCACAATTGCATCAACAGACATGATGTACATTACCACGTTTAAGGAAGGCTGGACCCCCCCCCCCCCCCCTCCCCCTCCTTCCTTTTATAGTATCTTATTCCCACAATTTACCATCCCTGTCAACCATTTCAAGACATATATTCCCACAGTGTCGGACAAAAGAACAACCCTGGAACAGATATTTGATGCCATGGTCTGATGGTGGCTGAAAAACTTGGAACAGGTTTTTTGAGGACTTTATTCTTGGAATGTTCACAGCTATTGTTGGGATTTTGCTAGAAAGCTCTAGAAAGGGCAATCTGGCATCATGCTGAGAGTTGATGAGTAAGCAAGAAAGCTGGAGAAAGCTGTAGTAACTTCTAGATAATGGGCTGAAGTAGTATATATACAAGCTCTGTAGGAGCTGTAGAATATAAGGTTCTTCCTGTCCAGCCTTACCAGCCTGGAGTCTAACCTGCGCAACAAGCCTGATTCTCAACAGCTATTAAGGTGATTGGACCAATTTATCTTTGATTTATCTCACTAGCAAAAGCAATATGTCATGTTCACACATGAGACAGAATTGCATGCTAGACATATTGAGAGATTGATTTATAGTAGCATAAATTGAGTAAATGATGTGGGAATGCACACAGTGTGCTTACCGGTTGGCTTCCCCTCACAATCAAGATGGTCCACAAAGCCTGTGTTACATTATCAGGGCAATTCCTCAATTTGGTTGTTCCTGGCCCAATTCTGGCTAAAAAATGGTGCAGAAACCAATAGTTCTAATCAAGATATTGCTAATTACAGTCAAAATTTTCTATTTCTGTTGATATATACATTAAAATTTGGTATGTCAGTTATGCGTTTAAGGCTCCACCCCCCCTCCCCCCCCCCTACCCCCCTACGTCATGTCCCGGTTTGCTCTGATGGAATCCCCTTGGCTTGACCATTCCGAGGTCACCTTAGATTCCATTGTAAGAATGTACTGCCAGAATGCCATTGTGCCATCTATCAGTAACTGGTCAGATCAGATATATGGATATGGACCCCGGAAACCATGGAGTGACAGGCTTCTTGGATCATCAAGAATTCAGTAAAGCCAAGTAAAAGCAGGTAGAAGTATTTAGAAGTATGCTACCGAAATTAGTCAAAAATTTGATTGTCGGAATTTGCATTACTTCAAATTACCTGATAATACCTCGAAATACTGGCGTTTACCTGCAAATACCTGCAATTACCTACAAATACTTGGAGTAGCCAGGAAAAAAAATACAAAATTAATTTTGTCTCTAAAACACCACCATAACTATCACCTTCATCGCCTCTCCAACTCTACCTGAGTCGTCCAGGATACGGATGGAACTGGGGCCTGCCAAGAAGTCGTGCACCCCAAGAATGGCACCCAACGAACTCCGCCACGTGTTTCGTTATCGCCACGGTCCTGTCGCTCTTCTTCCACATCATCTTGTACGACATGGTGCTCATACATATTGAATACATCGCCCCAGGAACATGGCAGTCTCCCTGGGGTGCACCCATCCTCCCACCCTCCGGCTACCCGAACTTCAAGACCAGCTACATCTCGTTTCTTTCTTTCTTCCTCATATATGCATCCGTCCAGATCATCTACGACGCCTCCACCTTCGTTGGTGTTGCCGTCATCCGGCAATCACCCAGCGAGTAGCCGCCTCTGTATGACAGCGTCCTTCTCTCGATGTCCCTAGCAGAGTTTGGGGCCATAGATACCACCAACTCTTCCGGCAGACGTTTACTGGGCCCCTCGCCCTTTTATCGCTGCCCGAGTATGTGCAGCTATTCGGAGCATTCTTGATGTCGGGGGTATTACACTGCTTTGGGGTATGGGGTACAGTAATGGGGTGCATTGGTGGCCGATGGGGGGGGACGTTCTTCTTGGCCAATGCGCTGGGTATAGGCATGGAGAGTGTGTGGTTGTGTTTCTTTGGGAAGAAAGTCGGTGGGGTGGCTGGGACGATATAGACAGTCTTGTGGTAGGCAGGTTGGGGGAATTGGTTATTTGATGAGTACTCGACGAAGGGAATGATATACCAAAGGATCTTGTTATATATTCAATAACGTACTGTACTCTAAAGGTAATTCCCGTTCGTGCAAACTTGAAGACATCAAAATTGAATTTAGCGTAAGGGCCTAATACACTATATAAAGAAATATATTGTGGCTGATTGGTGTAATCTTAGTGCGTTTAACGTTGATTCGTACTAGAGATAGCAGGTTCGATTCCTGCATTGGTCAATGATGGGGAAATATAATTGTGTATGCCTTTTGAAATACGCTTCGCCTAAGTAGAGTCTTGAGTCTTGAATCTTGCATATCGGTTGCTGGTGTGAGTGTTGCCTTACAGGTATTGAATGAAATGTCTGCCTGGCGTTCTGCACATGTCTACGCTCTTATTCTTACACCACAATTTCGTACTGCTTGAAGCGTTCCAGGTGTTTTCCCCATCTCCCGTCGTGCCAAGTAGCAATATCCTTCCACTCTTCACTTTCTTTTCCAACCGTGCTTCTGATCAACCGAAAGATCGCACTAATCACCGTATCCGCGAAACAAGGTTCATCACCCAGAACGAAGTCACCTTCGCTCCCTTCGAACCACTCATTCATCTTCCCCAGATTATCTCTCGTCATCGTCCACATCTTCTCTCGTTCTTCGCCCTCCGGGGCCTCCAACTTCGCACCAAACTTTTTCCTCAAAGGCGCTGCGCTCCTATTGTTCAGCTTCGTAACAAAGTAGGAATAAAACAGAGGCAGGCGGAGATGTTCTAAGGCTTCTTTGACTGTATCGGCAAAGGCGAGCTGGAGGACCATTGTCCCGGGGGGGATGAGCACGGGACCGCAGGAGGGGTAGGTTTTGTCGAGGTAGGCTGCTATGGCAGGTGAGTCGGAGATTACGGCGCCCGTGGAGTGTGTATTTGGGGGATCGATCTGGCCACATGCCCGTGGGTGCAGCACCGATCTCCTTCGCAAAGGCTTCAACGTCAGGGATCTCGACGTAGACAGTCTGGTACGGTAAGTTTTTGATGTTCAGGCAGTACCTACAAAGATGGACAGTCAGTCATGAGGTGTATTTGTGATGGAATACAAGCCTACCTCGCTCGCCAGGTAGTCGTAGTTCCTGGAGAATCGGCTACCTTGGAGGGGAGATCATAGAGAGTAATCATGCTTCAGTACTGAGGCCTGAGGCCATAAATAAGGGTTTGCCGACATTATATAGAGCAAGAGTCAGGCGGGAGAACATCAAGGTCATTACCATCGTAGGCACCATGCCTTGCTTGGTTGAGTCTACCGCTCAGAGCGGATCAGATTGAATAGCCTAGAGCTAACTCGGTAGTCACCAGAACCGCCGTGACCAGAAATGACTTCAAAGAGCATAGCAGCGGCATTTGCCGAACTTTCTTTTTCTCTACCACCACCATCAACAGAAATCTACTCAATATTCATCTAAAGCTGTCTGATTACTGTCAAATATCTAATTCGATGCGAAAGTATACCGTACGCATACACTGCAGGCGCGTTTTTCTCGTTTTGGTATGAACACTGTTAACTTGTCGTATAGGCGCATCATGTCCCAATGTCGTGAAACTTGTCTCTGAAGCTCATGCAGTTCTTCATTTGGTTCATGCACTAATGGTCGGCGAACAAGCTGATACAATGGATCGTGTTAACGTCTCAAGAATGGAGCAGTGACTCAGGGATATATTAGGCGGGAGCTTTTGGAGCCGGTGAGACTTCTTTTCTCGTGTATTCTTCAATCGTTGACTTCTACTAGGCATATAGAGGCATCGCAAACGAACGAACGGACACCTTATCATTTCTTACATCTTGAAAATGAAGGAAGGACCATCTTTGTACCTTCGTATGTATGAATGACATATATGCGTATTGATGCATCCATATGACTTTGTCCCATAAGGTTACCCTCTGGTCTTCTTACGGCTTTATCGTCTCAACGCGTCTGTGCCCAGATCCCCGCCATGAAACGAAGAAGCCATTGAGAAAGCCCTTTGCGTTTTACGCGCTTTGTTGACGTCGCAATCGTAGTCGCGACACCCCTCCACTTGTTGGAATTCTCCGGATTATGGTCGATCTCTGCCATGGAGCGGTATGTAAGGTCTGGCGTCTATATTGCTGTGTCTGGCCTGAAGGCGAACGGTTGACTGGGGCAGAACCCCACCCTTGTTTTCTTGCGTTCGACCATGGTATTTTCAAGTAGGTGAACTTCGGATGATGTTCTCAGCCTTGCTATGAGCATACCGGCATCTGCTTGCCAGCCGAATATCTCTCAACCTCTTAAGGCTTTTAGTTTGAGAGCTCTATTGACGCTATGTCGCTGCCAGGCGAACGAGCCTAGCTCTGATTGAGCGAGCATACCTTTTCGTTGACTCACAATACCTTTCGTTGGGCTCCTTGCCGAAGGGAAGGGCATTCTACTTCTAACTGCAGTATCCAAAGTAGCGAAGGCCGAGAGGGGCATTGTTACCATCAAAGTGTGGTAGATTTCCGTAAGGGCCCTCCTCATGCTTGTCATGCAGGCCTGTTCCGGCTAACATCTCTATTCCGCCGTTTACAGTAGTCCTTGGGTCTTCCCGACTACTGCGTCGAGATTCCCTTATACGGAGTGTTGGTGGCCCGATGCAGGTAATACGCTTATCAGCTAGCTGTGTATTCACTCATGCTGCTGAACAACCTTGACTTTGAATTGTTCGCTTTCGTTGCCTTGAACCCTAACTAGATGGAGGACTTCTCTTGGTGTATGTACATGAGCGTTTTGTATTCCGCGTTCTTATCGTACTATTGTTTCGCATGTTTGGGTGTATCTGGGTGTTTGCCGTCCGATTGTGGCTTTTGACCCGTGACAAGAGTGTCGGAATCTCCGTAGAACCAGAGGATAGACTTGTTTCCGTATCTCGAGTAGCCGCGCTATGTTTATTGAGCTATCAAATAGTAAAATGTTGTTCACATAACCAGAGAGAGATATCGTAAGCCAATATCCAAGCTTACGAGGAAAAAGAGTTTGTTGTAGACTTATGTGATGTGCAGTATTGCTTGAGGGCCCCGGCGAGATACTGTCGTGAGTCCATTCGCGGCGAAGGGCATCGGCAAATGCCGACGTCTCTCTTTATACACTCGCTGCGGCTACGCGACGTTTACCCCCAAGAAACCCCGGCTTACCGACGTGATTTCTCAGGAGGAACCACCAATGTACTCGCTTTCAGGACCGGGATACAGTTGCCGTTAAAAACATAGTCGAGTGCGTATTTTCTTAGCTACATGGTGATCGACTGCAATTTTATTGGCTAGACGAGCATACCGTGACCGATTTTTGTTCATTAGAGCCATCACCTTGATCTTCGAGAGACGTGTATGAGCAAAATTACCGGTATATATGGTCGACTGAACACGCTAGACATGTTCTTCATCTTGCGCTGTCGACGGAACAGGTGTTGCAGAGCGGCCTTTCCGAATACGAAAATCCGGTGGGAGGTTGGAAAATAGGTGCGTTTCTTTCTGCGAATGCACCTCTCAGTCATTGAATAATTTCTTGATATCGAAAAGTACACTCGGGAGAATGGAGGTCCTCATTTTTTACGCAACGAGCAAGCTGACTCGGAGACGTTGATATTGGACATCCAAGTGCGTCTGTTCCGATTTTCATGGCATATATGTGCACTCACGCTAGTCTTGCGCAGGAGCCTGTTTTATACTAGGCAGGGACAGCAATGCCTGCCATGGAAAGGCTTTCATTGTCTTGTACGATGTGCTCCCTGGCATACATCACCTGGATCCGGACTTACAGAAAGGCGACAAATGATGAGCCTTGTCTCTGGAGGAGGTCTCACCTCTAATTCAGTCCCCCCTCTTGAATGTCACTCTCGCCTCGCGCTCTGGATTCACGCTAAAGAAGGCTCGTCTAGGGTCGAGACATCGTATGTTTTACCTTGTCTGGTCATCTTGGTCTTAGGCTAATGCCTTAAGGTAGTCCAATCATGGGATATGTCGACTTTAGCTTTGTACCGCATATCGTCAGTCCTTGGAACATCGTAGTCCTCCTCTTCTTCGGCCTTTGCAACGAAAATCAATCCTCGCAAGGAAACAACGCGCACCTGCTTCAGTTCCCGGGTTGTAGGAACTCGTCTATTGTTCGCGCTGCCATCTTTAAGGAAGAGAACTCGTTCGACAAGGTCATTAACGTAGTTTCCATGGATACCGCAAGACGATGTGACCACTACCTTTTGGCTACCTTCCCAAGGATGAGAGTACCTTGTAACAGCTTTGCCGGAAGTTCACCCCTGTCTTGGGGCCAAGACGGCCAGCCTTATGCAAAGAGCTATCCAACATTAATTGACTCCCAGGCTCCAGCGCTGACCTATGTGACGTGACATGACGCTCTGAACCGCCCGAATTGTCTTCTTTATGTTGGTACATTTTCGTTTATCGATCTGCTCTGCCTTACATCTAATAAGAGTTGCGAGCAGGACAATCGACGGGTGCTCAAATTTAGTATTATACCCTCTCAACACGACCATGACATGCTTCAAACAAGAAGGAGCGATGTATCTGGACTGGGGATTGTACTTCTGGAACAGACGCGATGTTCTTTGTTCACATGCTTCATCGCGCTCGTATGGACTGCATCTGCCCCGTTTCAGTGGTATAACCCATTGATCTCTGCGTTCCCCTCCTCGATGGCTTGATGATATTAAGCCGGCAACAGCAAGGGTCAACAGGGCACGCTAAGGAGCTAAAGATGACGCTTTAATCATGCCTTTGCATATGTTTCTCTGCTCATGGTCTTGAAGAGGCACTGGAAGCTATGCATTCGTCCAGGACCCGAGGTCAGTCCTTTGTCTGATCCTGTCCCCTGATTTTCACCTCAAAACCATAGATGTTTACGGGCAGTCACCGATTATGGGAGACGACCCTCCCTATCACGCAGGATACCCTTGTGCGCGTCTAAATATCGATCGCTGCGCTGGTTCGGAGGGGGAGGGACAATATTGGAGAGTAAACGCCAGAGAAACACCGTGAGCGCTACCGTGTTGGTGCCGTTACAGGACAGGTTGAAGATGCAACCGTAGTAGTGACCTCCTTCAAGCTGGTGGAAGTCGACGAAGCCGATTCGTTCTGGTGCTATGTAAAGATGCCGTTTTGCTGGTGGCTATATTGCTGTCACACATTAACTGCGATTTGATCCATGGGCGCAGTTTGATCTTCTGGCGATAAAGTGTTCGCTCT